TGTGTGTGTGTGTGTGTGTGTGTGTGTGTGTGTAAAAGCCATGTGGAGAGTGTTTATTTATAAAGCATATATGTCGTTAGATTTTATCCAGAATCCAGACTTTGAACATATATATTTTAATTACAGTTTGATTTATTTGACACCAGTAGAATGTTTATTATTTTGTTAATTTCTCCTTAAATGCCTAACGTTTTAGTTTAACATGAATATTTGTCATTCATCCAAATACATGAAGTTACACATTAAAGACTGACAAAAAAGTTAATTTTGATTATCTGAATAATTATCCATAGAATTAGATGGAAATTAATAACGTGATTGTTTCCCCATCTAAACAGCCCCAGTCACAGACAGTTCAAGGGAGGGGGGCATTTTTTTCTTGTTACACAGCAATGTAACATCTGTATATTATACAGCTAATGCTTCAATTATTTCAATCCTAACTAAAATATGAAGTAATGTGTTTGTATCCTGGAGTCCGTGGTGAAGTAATGACTCTCAAAGTGTTCACTGCACAAGCGGGAGTGTGAATTGGGAGTCCAGCACTCTCTTCTTTGGTTGCTTACCCAAAGGTCAAGCCTCTCTGGATCACCTAGAGGAAAACTTCATACAAAGAACTACTTAAGCATATGGGGTTTAAAACACGTACCGTAATTTCCGGACAATCGAGCATACCTCAATATAAGCCGCACCAGAAAAAAAAAAAAGAGCGAGTTTATCTGATGGCATACAGACTTCTGGAGACTAACATCAAGCACTATCAACCAACTCACCGATAGGGTTGTCACGGTAACCGGTGTAGCCGTAAACCCCGGTAAAAAAGTTGACAATAATAATAACCGTCTTGTTTTTAAAAATATATATTATCTCGGTGAATTACTGTGGCTGCGGTGTAGGCGCAGTGACCCTTACCAGCCACCGTATCATCTGCTGAAGCTGCAGGCGGCACATGCGCACTTTATTGTTTACAGCCAAAACTTTCTTGTAGCTAACCCCTTCTTTCCACCGGAGCCGTCAGCAGCACGTTACTGCAGCAGCACGTCATAGCTGCTGATAGGACCCGCTGTGGTCAACAGAACCTTTTGCACTGGAGCCGTCAGCAGCGTGAGTTGGCCGCGTCTCAGGAGCAGCATGTTGCGGCCCTTACCTGCCGGTTCTATTTTCTACGCGCGACGCCTCTGAAACGGGTCAAGTTCGACATTTTTGGGGAAGGAAAGACAGGAAATCGGACACGGAAACGGAGTGAAGCTCCCGAGATTTTCAGAATAAAGAAACGTACTGCCTTCCGGTTGCTTTACTTTAAAAAAAAGTAACTAACTGTGCGGCCCCGTGAGAAGTTATCATCTAGCTAGCGGTCTCCTTTGTTTTTCAGGTCCGTATTGGCGATTATAAAATGGACAGAACATAAAACACAAACCTTTTGGAGCCATGTTGTAATTTTCTCCTGCTTGTTGTTGTGTTTACTGACGAAGTCACTCACGTGACTTTGTGCTCTGTCTGTGACAGCTGCTCCCCTGCTGCTTCGCGTCTCGTGGGAAGGGCCAAGCAGCATCTTACGCAACTAAGACGTGCTGCTGCAGTGACGTGCTGCTGACTGCTCCGGTGGAAAGAAGGGGTAAAGCTGAAATAATGGCCAAAGGTGTCATGAGTCTGCTGTTTTTCCCTCTGTCTATTTGCAGGTGGGCGTGTCGGAGAGCCTCAGCTGCTGCTGATTTCCCCATCAGCAAGGCCAGGGGATTTAAGGAGTGGCGTGTCCACACTCCAGCGCCGGTTGATACTCTCACCTGGGTAGCTTCCAGCCTCGTCCTGAAATTGTACAATGTTTGCAATCTTGCTCTGCTTGTCCTGTTTACTTACCTGTCCTGCCCCCCAGATCTACTACCAAGTCTCAGCCTGAGTTCTCTTCTGTCCTGGAGTGTGTACCTCAGCCTCGCCACTCATTATCCCCTGGTCATCTGCTCTCCGCCGTTCACCTGCTCTGGATATTTGTCAACCACATCCATCCAGCCTCAACCTAATTCTCCAGCGACCAGACCTGACCTACCCTCTCCTCACATTCATCCTCTGTTCTGGCTCCATAAGATCTCCCTTCCCTCTATTGTATCTTGTTCTCTCGTTCCTGGTTTAACCTCCGTGTGTTTGTTTCTATTTTTAGACCCCAGCCCGGTTTCCTCTTCGTCTAAGTTCGCCCTTAGTTCCCGTTGGCTTTTTCCAGCACCAGTTTGGAGCTGCATCCTTTATTATTATTTTTTCATTTAATAAAATCAAATTCTTATTTTCTTACCTCCTGCCTTGTGCTGATTCTTTCATGTGGGTCAGGAAGCTTCCTGCGATCATGACAAAAGGAGGAGACGGCAGCGCGCAGGACATTTATTATCCCTCAAAGAAGACAAAGTCGGAAGTTTGGGCATTTTTTGGATATTTGAAGAATACCGAGGGACAGTTGATAGAAGACGGCTTTCCTGTTTGCAGCACGTGCAGAAAAAGTGTCTGTGAAAGGCAGCAATGCTTCAAATCTCATGACACATCTGCGTAACCATCACCCACAACTCTACAGTCAACGCAAGGCAAGCTAACATTAGCGTTTTAGCTAAAATGCGTGATCCGAGGATTTGGGTTGAGGGAGAATGTAACAAGTCGCTATATAAAGCAGCCACAGCGCCGCTACCTGCATATAAACTGTGTCGTGGACACCGCCATGTTGAAATGACGCTATGCATTACGGGGCTCCCAGGGGCAGATAAGAGTTGGTCTCTCTCTGAGAATAATTATTAATTTAACAATGATTACTGCCTGATGACATTTTCCCACATCTGCAAAGCTCACTGGAAGGACACAAACCGAGGACAATAGGGTTTATTACTCAAGTAAGGGTAAAAAAGTATCTGATTAGAAGACTACTTGAGTACTGAGTATCTTCTGATCTAATATTTTTAAAATGATGACATCAAACAGAACAAAAAAGACGTTATGGGCAAATATTGGTATTTTAAAGACTAAAGGGGAAAAATGTAAATAAATTAAATACACAATTACAACATAACTAATTTTAGGCAAAATTTAGACACAAACCGAGGACAATATTTTCCTGATATACAGGGTGTATTTAGTTGTCTGAAAATGTAACACGTTTAAAAAAAAACGCGATAATACTGAAAACCGTGATAATTTTAGTCACAATAACCGTGAGGTTAAATTTTCACACCGTGACAACCCTACTCACCGAGCTGCAGTATTTCTGTGGTCAGGTCTCTCTCCGAGTCCAAGAGCTCCACAAGCGGTCAGCCCACACAGCAGACAGGCGCTGAAGCGGTCAGACATGCGCCGGGCTGACAACCGGGGAGAACCGGGTGGAAGAATGGAACACAGAAGTGTCCCTCCGAGAGCTCCATCATATTTCAACCCATTTTTATGTTAAATGCACTGGGTTTTACCTATTATGGAACTACGATTGGGACAATATTCAGCGTAACTTGTACCAAGTTTTGTAACTGCAAACATGTTTCATCACATGTAACTTTGGATTCGTAACTTGTAACTTTGGATTCGTAACTTGTAACTTTGGATCCGTAACTTGTAACTTTGGATTCGTAACTTGTAATTCTCAATTCGTACTTGTATTTTTGTTTTGTAACAGGAACATTGTATTTTGTACATGTATTTTTTATTTTGTAAACGCAAACATTCATTCAGAAACATGAAACTTTTGTTTTGTAACTAGCAGACTTCCAAATTGAAAAAATCAAAGTACAAGTTTCAAATCAAAACTCACAAAACACACATTTCATTCTACAGGTACAAGCCTCACATCCTACAATGTTACGGATCATTTTGTCTCGATTCTAGCGCCAGTGGGAGTAACTTGGGTGGAACCAATGAGAGCACGACTCTTAGCTACCAATCACGTTTCTCGAATTCCTGTCCAATCACTGGGAGAGGAGGGCAGGGTTTTGTCAGAGCCGTAAAGAGTTACGACACTCCAAGACTCCTATGGAATGGGGAAGTCACGTGGTTCACGTAGTGTCGAATAGTTCCAAACAGCCCCGCTGCTGCATTGACTGCAGTTCATTTAAACTATTCGGTGTTTCGGAAGGATTTTCTCCGGTAAGTTGATGAAATGTCATCATTTTGTTGCATTGTGAAGCGTTAGCTAACCGCTTCGTTGTCTCCTCACAGAACAAGGCTATCCCAGCATGCTTTGCACGCAAGCCCCCACAATGCCGCTCTAAAAATGGTCCCATCCCGGAAGTAAGAAAAATTGCAGTTCCACCCTCATCCGCTGGGGGCTGGTGTCAGAAGCGAGCAAATCCTCATTGACTCCCATGTTAAAAATGCCGATTTCACCGCAGAAATAAACATGTTTACAGCCTGGTGCCAAAACATGTTTTTTGTCTAAATTATCTAGTTTATACTCATGACAACTCTGAGGGGGGTGAATTTTTTTCTCACTCTTCTGTTTAAGTGTATTGAAAGCCTAAAATTCTGTATAATTAATGAGCATCCGACACACGTGACCGCCGCCTCAGACCCACGTGACCACAGAGCTAGCTCCGTGGAAAGGCCTCAGTACAGCCTCGGTCTGGCTTGGAAACTGCTCCGGCATTTTGAGTCTCTGTGTTTGTGTATTCTTCTTTGGATATTATTGGTGCAATTGTTGGACAAAATGACTTGCAGTGGTATTAATTGCACTAATAGAGCGTCCAAGGAGTCTCCACTTCATTTTTTTCGGTAAGTTAAAATCTATATTCGTATTTTATGTCACTGCCACCTTTAAACTAGCTGAGTTTACCGAAGTAGCTAGCTAACTATCAGTTTAACATGTAGCATGTACTGTTTAACCATGAAATTTAAATGTAAAATACGGTAAAATAATTAATAGGGCATATTTAGATGGGTAATAGGGTAAAACCCAGTGCATTTAAGATAAAAATGGGTTGAAATATGACGGAGCGCTAAGAGGGAGACTTCTGTGTCCATTCTTCCATCCGGTAATGCCCAGCGGTCAGGCCGGGCAGCCTGACCGATCCGGCGCCTACTTGCTGCGCCTAGCTGCTGCGCGGTCTGACCGCTCGTGGAGTTTTTCATGTCTGACTTTAACCGCATCTACCGTATTACGGCGTGAGCGCAACAGCGACAACTTAATATCGATGTGTAAGCAGCCTGAGTGGTAGGGTGTTTTCATCTGAACCCTTAAAACCTCGAGCAGGCTATGCTGCACTATTGACGTGTTAGCGCGCGGCGCAACTTAGCAACGTGACATGTCTCTGAGAAAGCGTAAAACACGGACGCTTCTTCTGAAGCGGAAAATAACACTTCTTCTTAAGCAGAGCAGGATGTCGCCTCGGCTCGTTCACGGCCGAGCCGGACTGAGCTCGATAACATTGACCAAGCACAGCCACTGGGTCGTTGTAGCTGCCACCAGGCCTGCTGAAGGAACTCCAGCGGGTTTCATCAGACTCGTAAAGTTTCTTGTTTTTGCTGGGGATTTCTGTATTTTACCGCTCCCTCCTGCAGTCTTCCCCTATTAAAATTTAAAATGTGTAACTTTATGTATTGTGATGAATGACTAATATTCATGTAAAACTAAAACGTTAGGCATTTAGGGGGAAAAAACAAAATAATAAACATTATACAGATGTCAAATAAATCAAACTGTAATTAAACTATATATTTTCAAAGTCATATAGACAGCATGATGGTTTGTGTGATCCGCGCGGTTTCACTTACACCCCTTTAATGATCAGGCTGTTTTTTATTATTTTTATCAGCTGATAGCAGTTAAAATTATGGTAAAAAATACTTTTATCTGTTTTTGATAACTTAATGCCCAGGAAGAGCATCTTCCTGGGCATTAAATATAACCCAAATGTTTTATTATGAGCAGATCTGATGAAGGTGTAGACAAGCAGTCTGCAAAGTAAAACTTGTTTAGAGTCCAAACTCTTACTAAAGCTTTTGAAAAGAAAAAATGGTTGAATTTTGAGAAGTATCCACAACAGGGGAGCGAGACCTCTGAAAAATGTATATTTTCTCTGAATTCATAGAATAATGTGAAGATTCTGGGAAAAGTTGGGATTCTGAGATTAAAACGTAAATCTTTTTAATCATAATTCTGGCAGTTTTTGTGTCCTTCTGCTGTGGAAAGTCGTGCAACATGAAGATACTGAGAAGATGCTTACAACCTGTATTTTTATTCCATCCATAAATAAAATCATGAGCTATTTTTTTAATCCAAATTTGATCCAAAGGGCCATCGTTGGTTCCAGACCCGTTCTAGAACATTCCTCTAATCTTAAAGTCATCATCAGTTTCTTCCTTTTAACAAATATTTATTTGTTCAAATATTTAATATTTATAACTGGAATATTTGTTCCTCCCTCTCCCACTGCAGTTAGTCCTGTCCTGCAACCCTGTTTTTGCAGCTTAGTGAAGCCAACCATCACTAACCTGGGGGTGGTTTTGGACCCAGAGATGCGGATGGACTCCCACATTAGCCAGGTGGTTAGATCCTGCTTTTCCCGGCTTCGCCAGCTACCAAAGATGAAGTCCATCCTGAAAGACGTGTCATATTTTCTCCCCAAGCTGGACCTGACCGTCATGTATCGGTCCAAAATAGTGTGATGATATTGTGTTTTTTGTACATAACAGACTTTTTAACAGACAAATTTGTCGCATTCTCCTACACCTCTTCACGGGCTCGCCACAGTAAATATTCTATTTGGCGAGAGATAAACTTTATTGTATTTATCCTAGTGAATCTATAATTAAACGGGTAAACTAGTAGTAGCACATCCAACATCAAAGAAAGTAAAATGTTACTATCAGGAGAGAGAGAATGTTTAAGTGGTTAGCAGCAGTGTGCTAGTCGATGGCCCCCTCCATGAGGCCACCACAGCTCAGCAGAACGTCATTGTAGCTTCTTCTGGGGAGAAAAACACTTAGAGAAAAAATAAAGTTAACAGCTGAAATAGCAGGAAATAATACAGTTAAAGAGCAGATTGTAGAAGAAAGAAACCCCTGGGTTAAACTGGTCTGTCTACTGCATAATGCTGAACTCTAACATGTGTCCTCAGGGAAGGACCTGATTGGTGTCCAGAACCTGCTGAAGAAGCACCAGGCTCTGCAGGCTGAGATCACAGGTCATGAACCTCGCATCAAGGCTGTCACCCAGAAAGGAGAGACCATGGTGGAAGAAGGATGAGCAGGTCTGGTCCTGACATGTTTCTGAGGTGTCTGCAGGTTCTGGCTCACTTTTTTTGGGTCCAGGTCACTTCGCTGGTGAGGAAGTGAAGACTAAACTGTGGGAGCTTCATGGACGTTGGGACACGCTGAAGGCCAAGGCGTCCCAGAGGAGGCAGGACCTGGAGGACTCTCTGCAGGCCCAGCAGTACTTTGCGGATGCTAATGAGGCCGAGTCCTGGATGAGGGAGAAGGAGCCCATCGTTGGAAGTCCAGACTAAGGGAAAGACGAGGACTTGGCCGAGGTATGGAAGTCCCTTCCTGAGAAACTCCAATCGCTTTTCTTTGCTCTCTTTCCAGTCCTTCATAATTAGTGTTTCTGTATTTGTCATTTCCTTCGGTTGTCTACCAGACGTCGTTGCTCGTTTGAGCGTCTCATGGGTTAGGGGTAGAAGTGCTGGCCTCGCACAGGAAGTGATGACAAACGTGTTCCCGTCGCTCTTATTTCAAACGGTTTACAAGCTGTGATGTGTGTTCCCGCTGCAGGGCAGCCATGACACGTGGCAGCCGGCAGAAGGCTCACGCTTTTCCACTAAACACCCGCAGAGCTGCGTCTGCGGTGAACTGAGCAGGGTTTGTTTTACAGTGGCGGATCCGATTGGACCATCGCTGCGAGAAAGCTCCACTTGTGTCAGACGAGCTGAAGGTTCTGATGTTCTGCTCCACAGGCTCTCCTGAAGAAGCACGAGGCCCTGATGTCGGACCTGTCGGCTTACGGCAGCAGCATCCAGGCCCTGAAGGAGCAGGCCCAGTCCTGCAGGGTGAGTTCAGAACCCTCGGCCCGTCAGAACATTCTTATCCACCACGTTCTAACACCAGACCTGTTAACCCGACAGCAACAAGGTAATCAGCAGGTGCTTTTGTCCTGCAGGACCTGAAGGACAAAGAGTACCGCCTGAGGGACATCAACAAGGTGGCATCTGAACTGGAGTCAGGTCTGATGGCTGAGGAGGCTCCTATGGTTCCGGCTCAGGTGAGCGTCACCTGTCTGCAGCAGCTGGTCCCTCTCACTTCCTGGTTTAACTCTGCTCGTCTGTTTGTAGCAACAAGAACATCTGGGTTCTGCTCCTGGAAAGGTGCGTGTTGTCCTCCGCCTCCACCAGAACCAGACGTGGTGTTTATGTTACCACTCATTTGTTTGTTTGTTTGTTTACAGGATGAAGCCGACTCTAACACGGCGTCACCCTGGAAGGTGAGTTCATTCAGCTGATCAGAGGTCACCTCTGATGGCCGCAGTCACGGCCGACCGTGCTGACATCACACAGGAATTCAGGTGACCCGGCAGGCACCAGGTGCTGGTGAAAGTGGGGACATGTCAGCTGGTTGCCATGGCTACAGTTATTTTTATGCATCTGTATGACTGCTGACTGGTGTGTGTTTCCTGTGACCTTTGACCTCAGATCGTACGGTTGGGCGTTCAGACAACGGCTAACTTTAATTCCATCAAGGTAAGAGGAAGCTCTTCCCTTCCTGTCTGAGCGATCCGTCTCCAGGTTTCTTCGTCCGGCGTCCAGCCCGCTGGCGTCCACCTTCATCTCACCTTCATCTCATCTCACTTCATTTATAGTGCAATACTTTCACATTATTTTCCCACACTTCTGTATACCTGTATTTTGTTGTTTTTCAATAAAGAATGACAAATTATTTAAGTTTGGTTTTTGTTGCACACAAATATATATCTGTAAAAAATATCTACAAAGCTAATGTTTACATAACAAGTATGATTGGGTTTTGCAATACGGCACTCAAGTTTATTTTAGTAAGATTTTCAAACCAAGTAAAGTTAGTAAAGAACACATTTCTATTGTCTGCTAAGAAACTGTTGGGATTTAAAATGGGCCTGTTGTACAAATAACTTGTAAATGATTATTCCTCACTTTTGTCTTAACCAAAGAAATTCCAGTAATTGAGCAAAAACATTTATTTTTAACACTACATTTTATAAAACAGGGCGCAAAGTGTCGGCACATGTATGTATGTATGTCGATGGTCCGCCCCAACCAAACCAAGAGACACAGACGTCAGGGAGGCCAAGGTTGTCTCTGCAGCTCTCTGGGCACCACGCCTCACTCAGCTGTCTCCAATGATCCAAATGGCTATGGAGAAAAAATAACAGGTTTGGCCTAGCTGTTTAAAGTACAAAACCATACATGAAGTGGTCAAGACAAGTACTTGGTACTTACACTTGCTTTGTGTAGCTGACGTTGACATACAGGCTGCCATGGTGACCTTTTAATAGATCTAAGAAAAAAATGTAATAAAAGAATGAAACTTAAAAACTCCCAAACCTCATGTCATATTTACTAATCAGCTATGGCTGATTTATTGTTTGGATCACAGTGAGTTACACTAATTCTAATATATTTTTATTTCTATTGTACATACATACTTTTTAACTGTTATTTTCACATGACTGTTATCAGGCTCTCTTGTTCTGGTTCTGATGATAATCCCGTGTCTTCCAGTAAGTTATCTTGTGCTTACTTCATCTGTATAATGTCTCTTTACTTTTGGTAAATTGTACTGAGTCCAGAATAAAGGCTAGTTGGCTGTACAAGATACAAACAAGTATTACGTTTTGGAAATATATGAAACACCGCCAGCATCTGTTAGAGCCTGTGGCGGGGTGCTGAGGGCCGGCTCCAGCCCAGGAATGAGCTCTACACGCCGGCCGGGAGGGTTTGAAACACCGCCATCCTCTCCTCTGCTGGCTGTTCATTCTGTTATGGTTACCGGTGCTTGTGTTGCAATGTGAAACGTTTGGTCTCAGATTTTGTAAGAAAGATAATAAAATGTCCCCCCAAAGTACGACTTAAATATATTTTCTCTTCTTCATGATACATTTAATGGCTGGTGCGACTCAGGAGTGATAGCGCCGAAAAAAACTGTACTGAAAACTTGCTCAAAGCAAAATGTATTCATTACGGAAATAAATTATAAACTTACCGATTTAAAACTTTTTTAATACAGGTACTTCTCACGAACAGGCGCAGAAAACCTCCACCTAAACTCCGTGTGAGGTTCAGGTCGATGGGTGTTCCAGTTAGCTCCGGTTGGGTTGAAGCTAGGTGGCTACATCCGTTAGCTCGGCTCCCACCTCCGCTTTAGCTTTGGGTTAGCCAGGGTTAGCTTCAGGTTAGCTCGTAGCTAGTTCGCCTGGGTGTCGTCACTCGAGCCCAGCCTTACAGCCACACCCTCAGCGCCTCCTCTCTTCCCTTTTATGGAATTGTCTGGGCTGGACGGAACCTGTGACACGGTCAAAATGGCGGTGGTGGACACCTCCCATTATGGACAGATAACGTGTTATTGAAGCCTATGGAATCGAATTGTCCAGTATATGTACAGTCTATGTTTGCACGCCGGCTGTGGATTTTCAACAGGCAGAGAAAGGGGAGAGCTATTAAGTTTTAAACGTAAATTTGTTAAAAACTAGCCGTAGAAACCTAAAAAGCTTAAAGCGGTTCAGTTTATAGACATTTTTCGTTTGTATATTTGTTCTTTAAATTACATTTTAGGCAGAAATCAGCCAGAACGAGTTTGTATCGCGGGTCCCAGTTATTCCTGTGTGTGTGTGTGTGTGTGTGTGTGTGTGTGTGTGTGTGTGTGTGTGTGTGTGTGTGTGTGTGTGTGTGTGTGTGTGTGTGTGTGTGTGTGTGTGTGTGTGTGTGTGGCGAATTAAACTTGTCATTTGTTTTAAGGACAACGGAGCAAAGAAGCGTTTTTATTAAGCTTAGAGGTGAAGAGTGAAGCTGTTTACACACAACCACAGAAGTTCTTCTGTGAAAAGTAGTTTTACATTCGGGGATTTACACAGCTGACACGTTATAATGAAGTAAAACGTGTTTGTGTGAAGAATATACTTTTTATCTTCTCGTGTGGATAAATGTAAAAATGTGTTTATTGCCTTTTTGTCACCTGTGGTCTCTGATTTTCTCTGTAGGACTGCAGGTGTCCAGGGTCAGGAGAGGCTTTACCTGTCCTGGGAGAGAGGCCTTCTACTGTCATCATGTTATTGTTATTTAGCTGTTTGATATTTGAACACATTTATTAAAACAAATACTAACTGAGAACTCTTTCTGGTCATTGATTTTATCACCAGTTTTATTATTACAGATGTTTTTGAACATGTTACATGAACAGAAAATGAAAAGATGGTAAGGAGACAAGATTATTTATAATAGGTTACATTTATTTACAGATCAAAACCAGTATGGACCAGTTATGTACGGTTAAAGCAGGATTAACCTGAGTGACTCTTCCTGGATCCTTTATTTAAACTGAGTGAGCAGGAAGTCTTTAACAGTGCAGCTGGATCTGCTGCAGGAGGATCCAGACGTGGATGGAGGGCTGGAGCAGACCCGTGGCTGAAAGTTTCTGGTCAGAGGAACATCATACATGGTCTGCAGAGAGAGCTTTGGGACGCTTCCTCTCACTGTGCACTCCATCGTCCATCTACAGGGACTGCTGGGCTGGCTCAGACGACGGCTGTTACATCTCTGTGAATGACTTGCCTGTTAACAATAGTGGTGGTCTGCTGGTACCTCCTGCAGGACTGAGCACCACTGACCTCCTCCACATACATCTTCCTCAGGCTCATCCTCCAGACCCACAACTTCACCAGCACAGAGGCAGATGTGCAGCACAGTGCATGCTGACCTGTAATAGATTAAATAAGAGTTTGGTTTTTTATAGAAAAATGTAAAACAAACATATAACCTGCAGTACACTGGTTCTGTTCAGTTTAAAGAAAAGCAGCAGGGAAAACTACAGAGAATTTACATTTTGAAGACAGATCTAATCATTATTAGGCTTAAGTTGAATAAACAAATGCACATTGAAAACAGTTCAATGTTATTTTATTAAAAAGCCTGTTTTTTAAAACGTTTTACCCTCATTTGATGCAAAATAAGTTCTATATATAATAAATAAATATTAATAAATAGTTTAAATGAACTGCAGTCAATGCAGCAGCGGGGCTGTTTGGAACTATTCGACACTACGTGAACCACGTGACTTCCCCATTCCATAGGAGTCTTGGAGTGTCGTAACTCTTTACGGCTCTGACAAAACCCTGCCCTCCTCTCCCAGTGATTGGACAGGAATTCGAGAAACGTGATTGGTAGCTAAGAGTCGTGCTCTCATTGGTTCCACCCAAGTTCCTCCCACTGGCGCTAGAATCGAGACAAAATGATCCGTAACATTGTAGGATGTGAGGTTTGTACCTGTAGAATGAAATGTGTGTTTTGTGAGTTTTGATTTGAAACTTGTACTTTGATTTTTTCAATTTGGAAGTCTGCTAGTTACAAAACAAAAGTTTCATGTTTCTGAATGAATGTTTGCTTTTACAAAATAAAAAATACATGTACAAAATACAATGTTCCTGTTACAAAACAAGAATACAAGTACGAATTGAGAATTACAAGTTACGGATCCAAAGTTACAAGTTACGAATCCAAAGTTACAAGTTACGAATCCAAAGTTACATGTGATGAAACATGTTTGCAGTTACAAAACTTGGTACAAGTTACGCTGAATATTGTCCCAATCGTAGTTCCATTTTTACCCATCGACATATACCCTTTTAATTATTGTACCGTATATTACATCTAAATTTCAGGGTTAAACAGTAAATGTTAAAATAGTAGTTAGCTAGCTACTTTGATAAACTCAGATAGCAAAAGGCGGAAGTGACCTAAAATACATAAACATAATTTTACTTACCGAAAAAAATGAAGTGGAGACTCCTTGGACGCTCTATTAGTGCAATTAATGCCACAGCAAGTCATTTTGTCCAACAATTGTACCAATAATATCCTAAAAGGAACACACAAACACAGAGACTCAAAATCCCGGAACAGTTTCCAGGTGAGACCGAGGCTCAACTGAGGCCTTTCCACGGAGCTAGCTCTGTGGTCACGTGGGTCTGATGCTCATTAATTATACAGAATTTTAGGCTTTTAATACACTTAAACAGAAGAGTGAGAAAAAAAATTCACCCCTCTCAGAGTTGTCATGAGTGTAAACTAGATCATTTAAACCAAAAACATGTTTTGGTACCAGGCTGTAAACGTGTTTATTTATGCTGTGAAATTGGTATTTTTAACATGGGAGTCAATGAAGATTTGCTCGCTTCTGACACCAGCCCCCAGTGGATGAGGGTGGAACTGCAATTTATGATACTTCTGGGTTGGCCTCAATTTTTGACCCGCATTGTGGGGGCTTGGTCTCCATGTATGACAGTTGTGGACGTTAAAATCTGATGGAAGACCAGAAAAAGGGCACTTTGGTCACTTCGGACAAAAAGGGCAAGTACTACACTACACTGTATTATACTATACTACACTACACTACACTATACTGTTAGAGATTTTATCAATATATTTATCAATAAACCCATTTCCTGCAGCTAGAGAGAGACAGGAAACAAATTAAGCAGACAAGTAAACCAAATTGCAATCTGTGGCAAAAGCATGAGGCAAATGCCCCGAGGTTCTGCTCACAGTGTTTATATATAACAAAGCATAAGAAAGGAACAGAGGTGTGTAATGATTTAAATTACATGTTATTTAATAAGCCATAAGGCGTAGGATTCCCTAGGAAATATGAAATCAACCTTATGGATCTGTGAGGTTATTTTAAACCAGAAGATTGGAACTTTTTAATGCAGCGATTAGATAACAGCTTCGTATTCACTCAGAGACAACAGAAAAGAGAGAGTCGAGTTTAAAAGTTTAAAGATTTATTACTAAACAAATTAAACTAGACTGACTTTAAAACTAAATGTATGGTGTAACTAAAGTAGATGAGACGGTGAATGGATGACATGTGATGTTAATCAACCAACAAATCCGAAGAAGCGATTTGTTCTGACGGGAACTGTAGGTGATGTCTTCGCATTAAGCTTTGATTAGGAGGTTCATAAACACATGAGACACCATTTGCCGGTCTACCTACCCTTCAGGAAGTCCCCTTTAGATCAGGATTGTTGAGGTCCAGCTTGACCTTTTCTGGAACCGAAGCCGGTAGGAAACGCAGTGGTTGCCGACTAGTCTGTGAGATACTTTCGGGTCAAGACGGTTTTGTTGGTGTCTGGTGAGACCCAAATCTGGGTCTTGAGGGTTCCGCTTTTATTCTGAAAGGAACCGTTGCAGCAGTTGGAACAGCAACAGATTGTATCCAGCTTGTCGTTGGTTCTTTCGGCTGAAGAGGAAAGTTACGGATTGGCCACTCCGACACATTCTCTAGAACGCTTTGAACTGGCGTTAAAGATGACGTGGGCATAGTTTTATACTTCGGATGTTTTGATTTATGGTCGAATGAAAAATTGACAGATTTACCAAACACCACCAAAACCCCGCCTCCGTCAGATCTGGCAGATTCTGATTGGATCAGTAAAAGTAATGTGTCATGTCTTTTAACGCTACGTGAGATCAGTCCTGTTGGAACATTTAAGTCATAGTACTCATCATATTCTATAGGATTATAATAAAGTAATTAATATTTTGATTTCACAGATTGGTCACATCTTATTTAATGACTAACACTTGGCATGATTAGCTTTATTAAAATAGTTTTTTGATTAATTAAAAGGAGATAGTCCATTCTTCATTCTTCTCTTGAGCTGAAAAGAAGCAGTTTTATAAGCGAATGCATGAGACCTTGAGGCCATATCTCATGCAGACTAGTTCTGTGTCAAAGAAGAGGGGGAAACAGTCATTTCATTCCGTTACATATCCCCCCTTTTCAATGGTGGGGTGGTCCGTACAGAGACCACCTGGCGTTGAACAAACCAGAGTCCTAAAGGGACTCAGACAACAGGGGAAGGTGCAGTTCCCCAGGAAGAGGCCAACAGTGGTGAGGAACAAACACCACTCCGAAGAACAGTCTATGGTTTACACAGTCTCGCATAATCCCTTTGGAAGCACACAAGTCAGCAGATTATTAAGGTATCCACGTGGAGGTAATAATTCGAAGCAGGAGCAAAACTTTATTTATCCACGGGTAGGGAATACTTCCAAAAGAGTATACTGATCTTTGTAGTAGCACTTATCGTGATTCAGTGTGGGAAAGAGCAGCATGTCAGGTCCCAGCGAGCGAAGTATCCCAGCAGCCATGCCGGAACAAACGGATGTGCAGGTCCTACGAGCCGGAACACCCATCAGGAGGAGCGGAATACGATGACGAGTCATAGGTCCACCCCCAGGGAAGCGAGGATTATCAGCGAAACTCAGGAGAGGAGAGAGAGCACAGCACAGGGCAATTCAATGTAGACACAACAAAATGGCGTCTAATGCAAATTAACAAACAAAAAGAAACCTAGCACTGTCAGTACCTGCATGTACTATGTGTAGGCAATTATGTGAATTAACCTTAAAGCGAAGAAATGGGTGCAATAGACTACATGTAATGCAAAAAGTGGTGCAAAAAGAATAAAATTAATAAAACCCTATACTGCGTATGGGAGAAATCACTGTACTAAGTAAAAATGTCTTCAAAATGAAGGGCGAAATTGGTTGTAGCTCATAATGGTAAATTAACTAAGTTAATCATAAAGTTTTCAAAACAATCACTGTTGTAAAGTTCTATAAAAAGATAGATATATGAGTGTCAAAGAGCACTAAAATGTAAATCAGTGAGGTTAGTAATCAACCTACACGTGAATGTACCCATAAGGAATTACGATTAGTGAAAATAATTTTTTTTTTAAATTGGATAACAGTGATATGTGGACTAAACCCATTTACTGTTAACTACCTGATTACCTGACTTCAGGAACCCACAGCATGTTCATCTCAAATCACCCAAGTCTGCACGTCATGTATAAACAGGAAAGACAACCATGCACACACACAAACATAGACAAACTTGTGTAACTCGAGATAGAGAGCTATGGAACCGACGAGGCGCGAAATCACCCCCCTTTCGAAGTCGGTAAGTTGTTGGTGGTAGCATTGACCAAATTAGTGGAACCCTTGTGCAGTTTGATTTGGTCCCTGTGGACCCATTTGTAGACGGGTTCCTTGTATGTTTGGGTAATCTTGATCTGATACACGACTGGAGAGAGCTTATC